TGTCCGGATTTATAATTCCGGGCTTTTTGTTTTGACCAGTATCGTCTAGGTCTCCATGAAGACCTACTCTTCTTGTATCCCCGGGAGTGAGCATCTCTAGTATGCTTTCTCCGTTTGTTTCTCCGTGGATGACTCCCAATAATTGTTGGAATGTCATTTTCTTCACAACATAGAGGAACTGATTTGTTGATACCTCTAAGTCTTTTATAATTTTTGTGTAGTGCCGCCTGATGGCACCACTCGGATAGTTTGGCCTTGAGAAATGACATCCTTCTAGCCACCGTATCTACCTCGTCCATCTTATATTCTTTGATTAACATTTCTCTCCATGGACTGGGTATCTTTGCAAAGAACAATTGAGAGGCTTCAGAATCTGCTACCTTGGCCTTCCATCTATACTCCGTTAATAACTTGATATATTCATCTACATGGCAAATGTCATGTAATTCTAAACAATAGAGGGCTTGTTTATATCTCTTTTGTTTTTCTTCCTCAACTCCTTCAAAATATCCTGTGCCGATAAATAAGATCTTAAATACTCTTGCCATATTATCGACTATTCCTTTCAATGATTCTCCAGCTATGACATCTCCTTTTACGTCTGGAGAAGCCATATCCCATGCAATTTTAACTGATCCTTCTAGGTTCATTTCGAGAAGTGAAATGAACCCTTCTTTGTTGAGATCCAATGTCCCTCCAGCAATTCTCATGGCAGAGGCCCAATCATCGATAAGGATCTCCCGATTTTTGAAATCTAAGGTATCTAGATTCAACATTAACCCATAAGGATGTATTGGATCTAGTTGCGATTTTCCATAAGGGGTATTTTGAAGGTTAGGCCTTCGGGAACGCATTCGGGTACCCGCCGGATGCCCGCTTTCTCCCCGAACCTGAAAATCCCCTTGATGGGGCATATGTTGTTCCTCAGGTTGGTGAGAACCCGAACTTTCTCCTCCAGGAGGTGGTTGGGACCTAGTTACTATCGTTGAACCATCTCCCGTATTCATTTTTAAGTCTATTAGACCCAGACCTGCAAAGGATTCTGCAAGGTCATGTAGATCCTCCAAATTCACTCTTTCCATTATTTGTTAGTGAATTTTCCTTTTAGGATGGCTCTCATCTTTTCGTCCTCTGTCATAGGTCTTCGAACTTCGGTGGGTTTACCCTTTTGGTGTAATAGAGGTACTGTTCCGAAGGTTACTTTTCTTCGTCCTCCAGAAGAACTCGGCCTATCTTCTAGAGTTTTAACTCGCTTTTGAATGTCAATAAGGATTTCTAATGTATCCTTTTGACTCTTCATTAGTTCTTCAATTTTGGTTAGCGTCTGGTGTACCTTGTTTGGTACAAGCAATTGCTTTTCACCATAGCTTTGTATCGTCTTTTGTAATTCGCGAATATCTTCCGAAAACTTAGACGAGTCTGGAATAACTTCTTTCCAAGTTAAACTATTATAGCTCATTGATGACTGTGATTTTGATGAGCTATTGCTTGATGATTTAATAAATCTGTTTGTAACAATTGGTTTACCCAGAGGGCATCCATATGATACTTCTTTTGTTTTTGGCAAAGTTTAGTTGTAATTCTATTAACTCCTGCCATAACTTGTTCAACATAACGGTCATCCCAATGGGCAACCATTTGTTGGTGTTCTTGTTCACACATCTTCAAAATTTGAAGATATCTAAGATAATGTATACATTCTGGACAATTTTCTATATCCATCCTTTTTTAATTCTCCTCACCAAAATTCAATTACCATGTAATAAATTCTTCTAAGAGTTCTTAATAAAACCTAGGCTCTGATACCATTTTATTTGTGGTGGTACTCCGGGAATAAAGTCAGGTACAATATAGAAAGACATTTGGTACTCCATGTAAATTTATAACACAAGATACTATTTTGAAAGCCCCTGGTACTATACTGAATGAAAACTGGTACTTTTCTTTTAAAAACAGGTATCGGGACAGAAATGTAATTTAAACCTTAGAGGGGACCACAAATTTGTTGACTAGGGAGTTGAATGGAAAAAATTTTCACTAGGGACTGAATGAGAAGATGAATTTAAGATTGGGGATTTATCTATACATTTCCCTATATTTAATCTTATATAAAATGTTAATTACTCAAGTAATAAAAATATATTTTATTTATTTTTATTTAACATAATTTGCTATATATGAATATATAATGTTTATTACCCAAATAGTAATTATAAAAATTATGTATAACAACACGAGATGCTTCATAAATTCAAACAAAAGGATACAAATTACATAATACAATGAAAAAAAAGCATTACAAACAACGATTACAATAACATTGCAACTAATTTTCTGAATTAGAAAATTCTTCCCATAAATGCTCAATCAATGCATTACGAAGGGCGATATGAGCTTCTCTATCTCGAATTTGTCTGTATCGAGCAACAAATGCTTGGAAGTTGGAACTGAGAAGCTTCATTACCAACCGTTTCAACAGGGAAAAATTCAAAATTACTCCCACAGATATAGGGGGGTGACATTTTTGGTCCCAACGGAATGCAAAAAATACAAATAGTCCCACAACTTTACTTGATCAGAAGTAGGAATTTTTGCCGGATTTTACTGTTTCTGGCCCGAAATGTCATGTGGCGCACACGTGGCATATATTTTTTACACGCTGGCATCCGATGTGGATATGAAAAAAATCAAAACTAGTCCCACAGGTATAGGGAGGTGACATTTTTGGTCCCACAAGTATAGAAAGGTGACATTTTTTGTCCACAAGTATGCAAAAAATATGCAACAAAATATGCCACGTGTGTGCCACGTGGCATTCCAGGCCGGAAACAGTAAAATCCGGCAAAAAGTCCTACTTTTGATTATTTTTTAAAAGTTGTGGGACTATTTGTATTTTTTGCATTCCGTTGGGACCAAAATTGTCACCCCCCTTTCACATTAATACACTCCTATTAAGTGTAATCATGTAAAAAATTAATAGCATTAACTATTATATAATATAATAGCAAAAAAATAGCATTAACTACTATAATAATAATAATAATAATTATTATTATTATTATTATTATTATTATTATTAATAATATAATAATAATAATAATAATAATAATAATAATAATAACAATAATAATAATAATAATAATAATAATAATATCTTCAAACAATAAAATTGTTTATACTTATGTAATTTATATTTAGTGTGAAATATTATGAGTTGGTAATAGCATTAACTATTATATAATATAATAGCAAAAAAATACATGATTACACTTAATAGGGTGTATTAATGTGAAAGGAAAAATATGAATGACAAATTTTGTAACTTTTTTTTGAGGGAAAATAAATGAGGTTTTATTAATTTGATTTTATAAATACATGATTACACTTAATTAAGTTTTATGAATGATAATTGATATTATAATAATTATAATAAAGTTTTCAAGTAAATTATTTGACCATGATCCCTCTAAATTATAAAAATTACATTACCCACAAATTTTTTAATCAATATAGTGATTCATATGTACTCAAATAATTTATATAAATATTATTTTATTTTTAGTAATGATTAAATCTTGAAAATGTGGTATGTCCATTATCTAGAACTTTAATATTAAATTCACATATCTTGAAAATATGATACATTTATTATCTAGAATTTTAATATTAAATTCACATATCTTGAAAATGTGATATGTTTATCATCTATAATTTTAATATTAAATTCACACATATTACTTATAATAATTTATGTACATCTGTGCATGTACACAGGATGATAACTAGTTAAGTTAATTACTATGTTTTGTTTATTTTTTATTTTATTCATAATTTGAAAATTATTTCATTTTTTATAATTCTCTTTTATCATATGGGTGTTCTATCAGTATCAGCATCTGCATAACAATACACATTTATGCTCATTCAATTTTAACCATCCAATTATAATAAAATAAATCAATCCACACCGTATTTCTAAACTTTCACGTCTCTACTACTTTACTATAAAGTTTTGTACCAATAAATACTCTTTTTCTATGTTGCCTCTTAAAAGTACCTTATTATACCCTATGAAATCCTCTTTTTTTT